CTTCAAATATACACATATTGCCCCTATCCCTTTAAAGTGAAAATATCAGATTATTTAACCGATGTGCATTATCCTACGGACGGGTGAGCAATGAAGTAATTTTCACACTTTGGGTAATTGAGATAAATTGTCACCGTTTAAACTAGCAATTTGTATAATTTAGTTACAATTTAAACAATTTTAAACGCAGTTAAGAGTTTACGAGTTAAAATGTTCACGTTTTGTTGGCGCAGTATAGTCTGATGTGAACTTATGACATTTTACACTTCTAGTTTTCAGTATGGTTATATGTCAAAGATTGCAGCTAAAAGTCAATTTCGCCGAAAATTGTGCTTGTGACATTCTGTCTGGCACCCCTCGAGGTAAACTTAATCATGCGACCAATCTTTCTCCTACATGAGTAATAACACTACCAGGGATAGTTTCACCTGATTCATCCGGTTAAAAAACACACGCTTTTTTCTATCTGGTGATCCGTCTCTGTGCACTCGCCGACCCTCCGAATCGAACGATATTTCCTAACCATGAACGTATGTGGGTACAGTCGAACCACACTAAATACAAAAACGTGTCAAAACACCATCAGCCAATACATCTAGGCGGGGAGAGTTTCGCTACCACTAAAATCGTTAATTAAGGACAGACAACTCCTAACATAACAAAAGACAATAGATATACTTAAACACCTCGACACGAGCGTGCCTTTCCACACAGAAGGTGAAGCGTAACTAATACACACAGACTATGTTCGTCGATAACAGTGCAGTACAGTTGAACCAACGTATCGTATGACTGAAATTGACCTTAGATAACATATGAATTGTGTGATTACAAGAATACCAGGCTTGTTACAGATAGGTGGTGATTTTAAACGGAATTAATCAAATAGAGTATGTAAAATAATGTATCGCATGAAAATCAAATCAACGAATAAAATACATTGGTTTATAAATCACTTAATAACACCAGGTTGTCGCCGAGGCAAGTCGCAGAAATAATATGCTAGGCAAGAGGCCCAACACGGGGTATTAGTAGTATACCTACAATATTGGTTATACCTCTATCGATATGGTAGAGCTACAATATTTATAACTTATTGATATGATAGGACTGAAACGTCATATGACGATGTGCAACATGATTCATGGATGGTACGACAGCATTTCAAGTGCTGGTGTGATTTAAAGTTAACGCTCAGTATCTCTACTATTTACTCATGTAGATAAACGCTATATATAGCTACATACAGCGGTATATACCTGTTCACGCAGTTGAACACAAAGGGTGCTATTTCTTCATGTCGGGGTTTTGCCACGCTGTCATCGGGACATGTAAGTATTAAAACAGTTTATTAAGACGATTAACGATCACCATGTTAATGTAATTATTGTATTTGTTTATCAGATATTTGTTTGTAGGTTGTATAATATATATAACTTGTGTGTCCATAAACATGAACAGTGGAATTGACATAAATAGTTGCCCCAGATTAAATTTCTGTAATGATAAAAAACGATAAGATTATATTACGATCTTGACAAGATCAATTATCGGTATACCTATTTGTAACAGATTGTATGTGATTTGAACCGTACTTTCTGTAAATATCTTAAAACAATATGGCTAATAAATTTCGATATGAGGTAAATACTATTTATAGTCACATACCGTGAAATATGATATTATTCCTAAGAGAAAAATATGTCAAATGTAAATCTGAGCATTAAATACTTACAGACTTAGTGCAAGTTGACCAGATTGAGATATGAAGCTTTAGTCCCCTAGTTGTAACGTAAATTGTATATATGTGTATATATAATGCTGTATTGAGTGGGTTTGCCACTACTGTGTAATCCATCTTATCGGCCTGTATTACAAACTGTGTCAGCCGTGTAAACTAGAGGGCTGTGTTTACAGTAGAACGTCAGTATGTGTGTATATTGAGGTGCCATTCATGAGAAATGATTAGCTATAATAGGACCCTCTTAACAATCAATACTCATCACACTGTGAAACTCTATCAACAGTTCATTGAATTTACCATCGAGAGTTGATTAACATTTTTCGTAAGAGTAGAATTTTTCATTTATACACAGCTAAATAAAATATAAATTGAGACACTCCCCTTTCCTTGTGGTTACTTGGCTATCAACCAGAACATCGTCATCATATGTCCCCTAAAACATACTCTGGGGAGATATTTTTTATTACTGCCTTTCCTATTTTCATTTTCATTTATTTTAGGTTAATTTAAAGGAATTTTGGGAGCTCTTGTTTTTCATTCTTTTAATTGTTTTAAGTCCACTAGGGAAATATTTCGGGAAGTATTATTTCTGTCGTTTTTTTCTTGTTATTGTTTTTACTGTCGATATCGTTGCCTCTTACTCTTCTTCTGTTAATAATTTATGGAATGGAAAGAATGTTTAAGGATTCTTCACCCCATGTCGTATGATTTTTGTCGCTTCGTAATTCAAGATGGCTGTTTTGTTTGTTTCGTGGTTGTTTGTTTGTATCGTTATCACAACAGCGATGGTCGTAAATGAAGTTGGGTATCAAGTTATACATCACTGAAAAATGAGTAGTAAGAGCTTACAGAACAGTAGAGGTCACAATAGTTGCAAAATGGCGGCAACAGACTATTTTAGGTCTAGCTAGCCAATATCCCCTACGCAGACGACACACAGGAGAAACCCCGATTCTACAATACGGCCCCACATAAGTCGCCCCACTGCTGCTACATATTTTATGACAAAATTCTGTCTCGGGAGCGCCCTGGCGTAGAGATAACAACATCTCATATAAATCTACTATGAAGACCTGACAAGTGTATACCTTATCAAATTAATTACAGTGTCAGGTACAGGTATCCTAGCGTGTGACGGTGTCATCTTCGTCGTGAGAAGGGCACGACGTACATTCCGGATTAATTTTATCAGTAACCTATGTCCGTGTTAACGATCGTTACGCTACTATAAATTAGCGAAAACATCGGGTTCATTCCATGTAAATATGTCTTGCTGGTTTTATTAAATTAATTCGGAACCCCTCTGACATATTCTTCAGCCGTACGATTATACATGTTCGGCGCATAGAAAAAATATTGACTGCTTTCACCATGAGTGAATAATTTACAGCAGCATTTAATCCGTTTTGACTATTATATCTCTGCGTCCTGCTTCCGTCGTTAGGGGGCTGACGAAAGAAAACAATAAAAAAAGAGAAATCGATATTGGAAATCATCGACAAAGCCTTATTTGCAAGCTCATATTTTATATAAATATGTATTGTTGTACGTTATGGTGCCTATTATATAAGATATATAATGAAAATGGTGAAAGCATGGTCACGATCGATTTTCATATTCCGTCGATGTGTTACAGGTAGGATACTCGACACACCGTGAATCAACTGCAATTTTAGCGGCTATAGTACCAGGTTTAACTTGCATACCTATACACAAAGAGAGCGATCCGCACCGATTGTTTGTCAGTGTGCAAGTGTACAGTATATGTATCTGTTGGTGACAGTCACACATAATAACGTATGTATACAAGGGCAAATGTTTGTATCTACTTTTATCACCTGATGTATGATGTCATCCCGTACCTCAGGCACCTGGACCGCTTTCGTTTATCGCGATCCAAACGGTTGGACCGGTTGGATCAGATTTATTCGTTTATGTAATAAGGTCGGACCAAGTAATCTGATGCTGCTTTCAGGCGAACCTTGACCAAGCCTTACAAGGCCTGCAATAACATATGCAGGTCTGCCAGGATTTATACCCGAAAAGGTCACATTTGAAAACAAACAAACTGGTTGTTCCGCATAAACGAAGAGGCCCTACATTGTATGTATTTCAGGATGATAGCGGCTGATAGCCACGAATCTGTCCACTCATGGTACATTGTAGCTGATACGTGACGTGCATGATAGGAATTCACAATGGGCTTTGTTCAAATGTCCAAAACTTTTATAATCAGAAAAAAACGCATTTTTGAACAGCCACTGTGGCAAAGCTCCAAAATCAGCCTTCGTGGTAATTTCCAACACCGTCCTCGTTAAGGTATACGTATACCCTACCACATATCGTAATGCCCAAACCAGTGAACACAAACTGTCTTATTAGCGTGCTACAACCTATCGCTGACTACTAGCCGCCTTCGAGAGTAGTTCTTGATCTCAGAAATTAGGTCCACTTGTAGAGTTACCTGTATACAGAATTTGAAATAAAATATCAAGTTTTGTTTGTTGCCATTGTCTTAATACGAGTGTTGTCGATGACTTCAGTTTGACAGTGTTACCTCCATTGTTATTTGTTAAGACAATACTAAGTTGATTTCTTGTACATGCGTGGTCACCTTGGGAATAGGTCATTGTGTCAGGCTGGACAGTCCACTGTCACTAGGATTGACTTTGATTAAGTGATTTGACCCTTCGGGCATACTTCTGTACGATATTGTAAATGACACGGCTCCAGGAACAAATAGAACAATTACGGTAAATATGAAATAAGAAAGCAACTAATTTAAACTTCTATTTGTCAACGTCGAAAGCCATACACAGTAATCACGCAACTGCGCTATATGTCCGTTTCACCGATTTATGACTCATCAGTGTGACTTGAATTTCAAAATGAAAATAATTACACGTCTAAAGTGTTCGAAACGTGTGTAGATGTTCAGAGATGCACACAGTCCCCATCAAACTTTAACGGCGTAAGGAATTTTTACAACCTTAGGCTAAATTAAAATAATGTACATTTGAATTAGTATTTCATGTAAACCATACGAGAATGAATACCAGCTACAAATGAACGGCTTAATTACCTCGAGACTAACAATTAACCATCAGAATAAACATTAGCTACAAGCATCGACCTTCCTCGGGGATCGATAATCTACCAGCAAATCCAATCGCCCTGTAATGTTTAACAATTACCTGTGTTAGAAATACGAAACGAGGAATAATTACAACAGAACGGACATTATGTGACATGATTGGCGAATGATCCATTATTATCATTATTATGGTAAATGGTACCAGTACGATTGCCACTACCGTTATTGTAAAATATTGACGTCCTTTTTAAAAGGTTCTCCATAAAGAGCTCATGTTTGGTGCATTTTAAAGAATTATTGTTGTTTGAAATTGAAATGTACTAAATTATTTACACTGCCAAGTATACACTTTACCAATGTTGCAGACTATGAATTATTGATAAATAGTATCAAAATGAAAGTCTAATTGAAGGGTCGTAAAGTTGTAACTTAAAATTCAAACATAGTACCAGTAGTACATGTAAAAAAAAAATCAAAAAAAATCTGGAAAATGTCAATAACATATTTCGGGTAGGGGATATTTGGTGGGAATTTAGGTAAAGGGGAAACAAAAACTATTTTATTTTATACCCAATCCTGTTGGTTGCCTCATCCTCTGTATATAAGAGACATTTGAATAGAAATATACCTAATGTAGTGTACCCTTTACCTTAGGTATATCACATACACTCGTACGTACGTGATTAGCAGATGTAAACAGGTTTAAGTGATGCGTTGATCACTGCCCACTCTCTATTTAATGTCGCGACACGCCTTGTTAAACCTTTCACAAGGTAAACGTGTGATCGCACACCTATTCATATTACCTAAATGTGAACATGTCATCGATGCGTCACATCCGTCAGACTTAAAGCTTCCTGTATATAATACTTTCTTTATCTCGTTATGTATCGCCTGCGGACATACTGACAGCATTAGGGTTACAAAAGACGCAGGTTAAGATCGATAGTCTCGTTCAACCAGACCCTTGTTGTCTGCGCAAGCTACGCCGAACTTTCTTGTTTACAAAGTGATCAAGCGTCTTATTGAACGAGACTTAGGGTAAGAAGACTATGGACCTCTGTTATGGCCGCCATCATGATCTCATTGGGAAATATGGCCTCAGACCACAAATACACTTCCGGGTCGTTGTGCACGTATGCAGTGCATAAGGACATTTCAGGTCAGTTACTAAATATGTTTTCCTGTCTAATCTATGACAGATATGTACAGATTTTTACATAAAATTGTTCAACAATATCTATTCTAGCGATATTTTTTTTGACACAGTTTCCAAGTTTGTATTCGCAGCGGGGCACAATGAGTGATTAGGCTTGCGCAGTGATATTTTGTAATTTTTGGTATTTTCCTCTATACATGCAGGGTTGTGACATTCAAATGAAATTATCTTTATTAATTGCCGGCCATGAGGTACTTTCCAGCTCACTGTAGGTCTAGTTTGAATAGATCTACAATATGATATAGGACTCAGACCCTGCGCAAAGTTTTAAGATATTTTAATTTCATTTTTCCTTTGGTAGTAACATATAGTTGAATTAATTGTGGTCTGCGGCCTGCTTATGGACCACTGTTATGGTGCCATCATGCTCTCATTGGGAATATGCAGTGGAATCCGACCCTTGAAAAACTAGAAGAATGCAACAACCGCATAGTGTACAGCTTGTCACATTGATTCCATTCTGAGAGAGATGAACACAACACACAAATGTGAATGCACATATTCCGTCTTTGCGTATTGCAGAGTTATCTTCTCTTGTGAGCAAGTATGGATTGTTACGTCATTGGTTTGTGTGAGAAAATTACGTCGTTTTCTCAAAAATTGATGACTTTACTCTCACAAACAAATGACGTAACAATCAATACCGGCTCTCAAGAGCAGATAACTCTGCAATACGCAAAGACGGAATAATCTTTAGTAATAGATACAGTATTCAAAAAATGAATTACACCGTATAATACAGCTGTTTTGTCCTTCTAGGACGCATCAGTGAAGACGGGGGCCGAAAAGTTGGAATACATTTGTAGTCTAAAACTACTGTTGAAACAGAGAGGAAGGTGAACAACCGCTTAATTATGTCAATCTGTAACACTGCACTAGCACCCGTGTATTTCAAATTTGTAATCTGTAATATTTGTACAATGAGCCATGCCCCTACTCAAACGAGATATTTGTGGTTATCAAGATTATGACAAATCTTTGGAACTCAGAAATCTACCAGCAGATTATACCTTTAAATTAGATCATACATTAACGAGAGTGATAGAGGAAAAGTTCCTGGTTAACTGACCAGGAACCTTTCCTCTATCACTCTCGTTTATTTATGATCTAATTTAAAGGTAGAATCTGCTGGTAGAGCTGGCTATATAAAACTAACAATGGTTCTAACGTCATCCGTGGTCGACAGTGGGCAAAGACGCCGTCAGTGTCGGCGAATACATAACAGCGACATAGAATACTCCGTCCCTCCTAATATTTCCCAGTCGGCGTAACGATAGCATTCTGCCGGCATCAGTTGTACGGAACATTGGAATTCTAAGCGTTTCATGGTCAAAATGTGTGTTGTAATACCTGCTGTGAGATCTTCAATATTTCTTCGACATGAAGAGGTCATTGATAAAATTATTCCGTGATATCGCTTTAAGAGATTGTTTTAATTTTGAGGGCGTCGCTGACGATAATCATCACTTCCTATGCTATCATTGTTCTAAGATTTTAAACTATGGAAATGCCCAAAAAGCATAAAATCTTGTAAATACCTATTTTCATGTTTTCGGTGCTTTATCTCTTATTAGACATTTTTCAATTTGGGGTAGACCTAGCACGAGGCGTGGAGACAGAGACATAGACTAGTAAATACAGGGGTCATTTCAAAACTGATTTTATATGGAACGTTTAGACGCATATGTACGTGGCTACAGGTAAGCGAACAGGTAACATCATATGGAGATACAGATTAGAACCTATGTAACCGGTAACCACAGTCGTTATAGTCTTTTTCGTGGCTCAATGCGGCAGGTATGTAACCGTGGCAATTGATATTTCAATATCTCTGTTAAGGATCTCATCCGGGACGTCTGTTGTATTTTTCTGACGCCGATTAAGTTAAAAGAAATTCCCCGAGCCAAATTAATCAGTTGGGAGAAGTTTGTAATTTACCAGAGTGACAGGGATCACATATATTTGTAGATTAAATCATTTTATGCTATTCTTAGAAGACTTTTCTAGGGATCATTTCAGGGGAGTGAATTTTCGGATTTCTATACTACTGCCATCACCAGAGTGCAACAGCATGCACAGATTTTTTGTTTTCAGTATAAACCATAATTTAAAAAAAAATATTTTTCTGAAAAAAACCCAAGTAAGGTGAAATCAACCAAAATAGGTTTATCAGGGGATGTTACTGTACATAAGGAGTATTAAAAGATCGTTCTCTAGTGTTTTGTCACAACCAGGGGGACAGGATTCCTTAATACAGATGAAATGAAAAATAACTTTGAGATGTTCCCTGATTTTACTAGTCTCGGTGTCCGTCTCTGGCTCCGTGGTTGGTCTGCTTTTTTTTGGTTTGGTGACCGCTGCAATGTTACATGGAGTTTTATTGATGATAATGACAGATGAACGGTTTTATATGCGCGGCTAATGTTTCTTGGAATATTTTCCTGTACCTAGCTTCAGTGGATTACAGGATATTGCCCGCTACTGTGTTATGTGGATTGCTGTAATCTGCTAATGTTTCTTAGAATGTTGTCCTGTACCAAGCTTCAGTGGATTACTGGATATTGCCCGCTAATGTGTTATGTGGATTGCTGTAATCTGCTAATGTGGATTGCTGTAATCTGCCAATGCTTCGTGGAATGTTGTCCCGTGCCTAGCCTACGTGGATTACTGGTAATCGTTCGCTATTTGTGTTATGTGGATTGCTGTAATCTGCTAATGTTTCTTGGAATGTTGTCCTGTACCTAGCTTCAGTGGATTACTGGTGATTGACTGCTATTGGTGTTGTATGGATTGTTGTCAGCAGCTTTTGTTTCGTGGGTTTGATGTTTACTGGTAGTGTTGCATCTAATGCTATTCATTGTTTGTATCTCGTGTAATATTGTTCACTTCTGTTAGTTACGTAGACTGTTGTCCACTGATAATTTAACAAACATTTTTATCCGGTACTTATAATAACTATATTGCTGTTCTTATCGCTTCTAATGTTACGTTGAATGGTGTCCATTGCTAATCACGAGTGGATCGTTGTCCATTTCTAATCACGAGTGGAATGGTGTCCATTGCTTATCCCGAGTGGAATGGTGTCCATTGCTAATCACGAGTGGAATGGTGTTCATTGCTAATCACGAGTGGAATGGTGTTTATTGCTAATCACGAGTGGATTGTTGTCCATTGCTAATCACGAGTGGAAACGTGTCCATTGCTAATCACGAGTGGAATGGTGTCCATTGCTAATCCCGAGTGGAATGGTGTCCATTGCTAATCCCGAGGGGAATGGTGTCCATTGTTAATCACGAGTGGAATGGTGTCCATTGCTAATCCCGAGTGGAATGGTGTCCATTGCTAATCCCGAGTGGAATGGTGTTTATTGCTAATCACGAGTGGATTATTGTCCATTGCTTATCACGAGTGGATTATTGCCCATTGCTTATCACGAGTGGATTGTCGACCATTGCTAATCACGAGTGGAATGTTGTCCATTGCTGATCCCGAGTGGAATGGTTTCCATTGCTAATCCCTAGTGGAATGGTGTTCATTGCTAATCACGAGTGGAATGTTTTTTTTGCTAATCACGAGTGGATTATTATCCATTGCTAATCACGAGTGGAATGTTGTCCATTGATAATCCCTAGTGAAATGGTGTCCATTGCTAATCACGAGTGGAATGGTGTTCATTGCTAATCACGAGTGGAATGGTGTCCATTGCTAATCACGAGTGGAATAGTGTCCATAGCTAATCACGAGTGGGATGGTGTTCATTACTAATCACGATGGATTGTTGTCCATTGCTTATCCCGGGTGGAATGGTGTTCATTGCTAATCACGAGTGGAATGGTGTCCATTGCTAATCACGAGTGGAATGGTGTCCATAGCTGATCACGAGTGGAATGGTGTTCATTACTAATCACGATGGATTGTTGTCCATTGCTTATCCCGAGTGGAATGGTGTTCATTGCTAATCACGAGTGGATTGTTGTCCATTGCTAATCACGATTGGATTGTTGTCCATTGCTAATCACGATTGGATTGTTGTCCATTGCTAATCACGAGTGGATGGTTGTTCACCTTAAATTTTGAATGGGTCGTTTTTCACTGCTACAGTATAATAGAACGTGGATGGCTGTCCACAGCTAATTTAACGTGTAATTTTTATTCAATGCTAATGTTACATGTACTTCTTTTTGTTGTTATGTAACGTATATCGCTGCCGTCTGCTAATATCATGTGGTATGTTGTTAACTGCTTATTTATTTGACGTAGCTTGTAGTAGTTATTTAAAAATCGATTAGGACAATATTTGGATATCTAAACAATCTAATTATCTCTATTATCATTTTCGCAATGTATGTAAAGTTATTTAAAGTAAATTGAACAGATTTTACACAGCTGAAAGCATATTTACACACGAAAGGAGTGATCAATATTGCATAACAAGTGTCGATCGATCATAGGGTTGAAAAATAAATTCGATAATGTATCTGGTGCTTTTCATTTACTTAAAGAAGCAGCACGATCGTTAAAACACCGAGACTCGATTCCGAATGTCGTTACATGCAAACAATGAGGATGACGTCACAACACGCTGCTTTTAAACACGTACATACTTTCATTCATTTGATAATATCTGATATTGGAATATTTTTCACATCAGCAGAAAAGTGGCATGTTTGCTTCAGAGGGTAGCTAGGGGCTTTCATGAGACCACTTATTTTCATAAGATGATACATTAAACTAAGCATTTCGTTTTTATTTGTTAAATAATAAGGCTTTTTAATTATATGTAATTATTACAAAAGAGACGGGTTTTTTTGTGTCAGAGAAGCTCGAGATATCCGTAAAAAACAGTCAGCCCATTGCACGTCAAGATCGATTCGCTACAACCAGCCACGGGTGCTTCCTGTTTAAGGATGATCAGCGGATTGTCGTAACGCTGTTTAACCTGATCATTTCAATTATTTAAACGATGCCCTGGTTAAGTCCGGCCCTCTGGCAAATACAGCCGACACTGTTGGACATACGATCATCACGCTAGCGATTACATCAACTTCGTTAATGACTTGGTCGATAGGGCCTACGGGGGTTCTCACCCGAGATTTATGGGAATGAGTACATAAAGTTAGTACCCAACTACATATCATGTTCTGTTCGTCATCGTTGCTAGAGACAGTATCGATTTCGAGGCCGGAAATGACCGTGTTTCAAATTCACTTTAGGATCCCTGTCCCACCGGTGTATTTAGCCTAACCTTAATTTTATTTTGGATACACAGTGTAGCGCGTGTTTTCGTTGAACCACGGAATTAGATTGCTATCTAAGGCGGCATTGGTTGAACAGGTAGCTCAGTCGGTTGGAGCGAAAGTGTAACATTGCGAAGTCCAGTGTGCGAATCCCGTTACTTTGACTTTAACTCATAATACTATTATTTTTTTTATTTTTTGTTTTTTTTTTGTTTTTTTTTGGTTATGTTATATTAAGTCCCGCAAGGTATGAGTTTCTCTTTGGAAATGATTTATCAAAGCTAAAGTCATGTCATAAAAACGGTTTCCGGTGCGTCGTCACATTGTATTTGCAGTGGTACGGGGATCCTTTACCAATAATGAACGACGCTACGACATTGAACCCGTTTTTGATATCGTCGCAATTTTTTTCTATTACACTGAAGATAAAATTGAACATTGTACGTTTATATTTGACACTTATATGTATTACGGTTGCTTACATTTTTTGTTTAGATACGAACTTTTTGTTGTTTTCATGTACTAGTGTATTTAACAAAAACAAAGCTAAGTTTCCCATAAGAATCATATGCTTCCATGCATTTGTATATGGTTCTTCAAAACTATTTGAAAAGGGAAATAAAAAAAGAAAGAGAACAGATGAAGCGCAGGAATCGAACCCCGGACCTTTCCATTGTGAACCGAACACATTACAAATGTTGCCGTTCTTTAATTACAAATTCACATTATCAGAATGCACATGACTAACTTAACAAAGGGAGGTAACTATAATAAAAGAAATATGTTGGTTGCTTTAATCTTTATAAAAGGGAGAATACTCGAAGCCAAAACACTATGAGAGTGAAACTCTTCTTCGCGATTTCAACTGTTGCACCGGTACCGTTAAACCTTTAAGTGTATTTTTCTGATATATTAATGCATTTTACCATTAATTACCAATTACCAACATATATTTTTTCTTATTCTTTCCCCAGAAACAACGTGATGTCTAATGACGCAGTGGTGAGGATATCCCTCAATACAGACGATATCATATTTGCTGCACAAAAAATTCTTGCGCAAACAACAAGTGAATTCTTACCAACTCTCATCGGAATTACTACGTTAGTGTTTTTAGTGGTTGGATTTGCGTCATTCGTTGGGACCTGTTTGAGCCTGTGCGTGTTCGGTAAATTTAAATGCTGTTATCGTTGTAGACGTTCGAGATACCATCATGATGACGACGACGACGACTTTGTTGACTGTCCAGACCCAGCCGGTAAGCCATTGCGCAATGGCAATGCATTCCCACAGAACGAAACATTTTTATAAAACAATTCACTCTTTTCTACAAAACAAAACATCACTAATGATGTGGCTATTATATGTTATTGTGTCCATCAAGTAAAAAAGGACAAACAATATTTTATTGGTTTGAAATTTGTGTTCTCTCGGTAGTACAACTAATTGGTGATCGGATGGCGGAATGGATAACGCACCAAGGTGACCAGGTTTCGAATCCCTCGATTGGATGTGAAAACTTATGCTGTCACCTGCCCGACCATGTGGGTACTCCGGTTCCTCTTACGTTAAGAGGTCCCACTCATCCCAATCCTATATGGCTATATTTTAGTAAAATGAGAAATTAACAACAGAAAAGATATATTTATTTCGTATATAAGGTTTTGTTACAGTTAGAGTACCGATAATGTCAAGTCAAGAAAAACGACAAGCAAATCGAAATTGAAACTCTTCTTTGTTGGAGGTACGACACAAGGGTGGGTGGCTTTGTCTACCTTAATTCCGAAATCGGAAAGAGTATAAGGAATACATGGGAAGGACAATACCATTGATTTAAAAATCACAGCGTAGCCGCTTTATGTCATATTGTGATTTTGACAAGAGTGTTCTGTCAGAATCAAAGACAGGACGAAATAAGTGGTTTTTATCATGGACTGGAAATTTAAAATCTTCGACAGAATTGTAACTCGGCACATTATTCGTGTCCGTTGAATAATCCGCCGACTTGTAACAAAACAAAATCCGGGTAAACAAGGATGACCGTGATATATTCTAGACCAGAAACAACTCCTGTACTTTGTAAAGAAAGAAATGAAATACTGCAATATATCTTTAAATCTCATTTCTCAAATTGGCACAAAACACTAGACAACAATTTATCGCACCTCAGTCAGGGATATTCCATGCGATGACATTTTTTTCTATCCGAGTGGCTTTGGACACTCGGGTGGTAATAGCGACGACCTTTTTCTATTTCGTCCGATCTGTTTGGCGCGGAATATTCACATTTTGCATTATTAAAATTATATTTTGTCGTAATACATGTATTTAATTTATTGATGTTGTTAAGATTCCTGGTGTTGTAGAAAAAGTATAACCTACATTGTGAAATATGTTTCTTCTTTGTAAGGACGGACAGTACTATTTGCGCGGAAGTATTCAAACAGTGAAGAGGCAATATTCACGTGAGGTCCCAGACATGGGATACCTGTAGACTACAAATAAAGTGATGTAAAAACCAAAACTACCTATAACTGAGCGAGACCGGGTTATCTCAGTCTCGAGCTAAGATTCTGTAATATTATCCAAACCGTGACGTCACGGTTTGGATTATGGTATAGAATCTTTGCCTTCGATCGAGATAACACAATCTCGCTCAATTACAGGTAGTAGATTTTATTATTCCACAGCTTCTATTTGAGGTACATGTTCATTTCACAGGGTATTTGTCAATTATATTTTTTGTGTGCAATAGTACAAACATGTATAGAACTAGTAGAATGGTTTAATAACAATATATATAGGGCAGACTCGCAATTCAATGCCTGCAATGCTCCAATGTCCAATAACCAATCTATAAAGAAACTCTTGATCGACAGGGTGTGTTCCATCCTCGATATCCAGGGGTTACGCTCACTAATGCTCTTTGCACCCCTAGAATATGTCATAGCAATTGAAGACACAACAACTTTTTGATTGGTCACATGTAAAAAAAAAACCTGACCAATCGCTAGGCTGATATCTGTCCTTTAAAGATTACAATGGGACGACACACCGACTTCAAAGTCGGTCAATTTTTACTGTTACGCGACCGCGAGATTCTTTTAATGTACATCACAGGGTCGAGTTAGTCTTCATTGAGCCTTCAATTTGGTTAAGACATATTCCAGGGGTGTAGAGAGTGTTAGTGAGCGTTACCCCTGGATATCGAGGATGTGTGTGTTCACGCGTGCTGTAAACAGAGACAGATTCATCCGTTCGCATCAAAGCTTAATACAAAATCAGTGTACGCTCAAAACGTCTGACGGAGTTTGACCAACAGCTGTATGAAATCGCCACAGATGCGTCATCAAGATGGTGATATGTGAAGACGTATGAACTTATCTTTATAGTCCAGTTGTTCTCCTTTCACAATTGGTGAAGAATATGCTAGTTTTGGAATGACATATATCAACGTTTGTTGTGTTACACTTTTTCATTTAACTAATTCTAGATAATTACCGTTCATACCTTGAAAGGTGCCTATCAGCGTTTCTTTCTTTGCAAAACATGATAGCGTTCGGGGTTTAATTTTGATGTAAATATGATAATGTTGTAAGGATTGTGTTGATTTTTCAATATATTCACACCTGTGTTAAGAGACCATCTTGTGGAGTCCAAACAATGGTCGCTTACAATTGTAACACAGATGGTCGCTTCATACAGGATCAGTTCATAGTGAAATCACTGCAAAGTTCTAAACACAGGTGGTCTTTATATTTATAGAGGTGGTCTCACAAGCAGGTTTTAATGTATATACTTTAAATGTATAAAAGTAGTGGTTATAAGCATTATAGCCAAGCTTTCACATATAAAGAATCAAACCCACGGCGAGAGGCACTTGTTCTGATCAACAGAAATGCAGAACGAGTGTTGCAGGACACTGCTTACTCCAGAGGTGTCGAAAAAACATATGAATACGTTTGTTGTGCGTTCAAAACAAACAAACAAACAAAAAGGAAATCCAGCGAAACACATTAAAGTAAAAAAGTAACACGTAATTTTTTTTGGAATACTGCTACTCTGTTTAACCTGAGTGGTAGTGGAACTACAAATTGTAGGAAGCTGGTCGGCCCGGAGTGATAAAAAACGATGAACATAGGAGTTGTACGTGGGCAGGCCAGAGTAAGAATATACGCACATGTACATGTAAATTTCGTAGCCCGAGTACATCTGATCTCATGCATGATGGAACGGTTTTTTGTGTATTTGGGAATAGCGTTTTAGCTTGAGAAGTGTCGGATAGTTATACGATAATAACGCAGGGTGACATGCACAAACAGTTGGCATCGCATAAATATAAACTGTAACACGAAACGACACGATATCCGTGTATTACAACATGATGCTCTCCAGTCAGCATGACTTTATTGAAGTTCGTAAAATGTACCCTAAACCGCCAGCAACGTCTATAACAAAACCGACTGGGTAGTCGATTTCTTAAATTCACATCACGCGCCTGGCAGTGTCCTTTGACACCAATGCTGTTCAAACCCCATCCTCGCTATCTAGGTGTTACGCTTACTTTCGCTCTCTGCACCCCTGGAATATTTCATAGCAAAAGTGAAGGCTCGGTGTGAGCCGCCTTGTTGATGAGACAAGAATACTAGTTCGATCCTTTGATTTACATCAAAAGAATCTCGCGGTCACGAAACCTTCAAAGGACAAGTATCAGCCTAGCGATTAGTATTTATTTTTACCTGAGACCAATCAAACAGTTATCGGCGTGCCTTCAAATTTGCTATGACATACTCCAGGGGTGAAGAGAGCGAAAGTGAGCGTAACCCCTGGATATCGAGGATGTCCAAACCCCAAACCCCACTCTGTCCTTTGCCATTTATAGTCTGATTATTTGGACTTAATTATCTAAAATTGATAGCGGCGAGTTTGGCCTTTGAACCTTGAAAAGCAAAAGCATAATATATAAGCTAGAAATAAATATTCTGCAAACATTATCAGCGCTTAAAAGAAGTTTTGACTGAAAAATATGTTCTGTAATTGATATAAAAAGAAAACTATAGCTTTTAACTAGGCAGATAATTTTGACGCCACAATAAAAGTATATTTATTAAAAATAAGTATTTCCACTTTGGTTATCCACTTGAAAGTTTATACATTTTCAAAATTTCGAAACACAGATACCTAAATATTGTAATGATTTCATAACTACGTGTGCCTTATCGAGTAAATTATCAGTTTCCTAATAGACTGTCAGTGAAAAGGACAGTGTAGGCATTTCATATGGTAAGCCTTAACATGAACAAAGGGCGACAACTCCGTGTTATTACGGCAAAAGACCCTTATTTTAGCACGCTACACTTCGGCATCTTCAGCTTTACTAGAATACATAATTGGAACAGTATAGATGAAAGTATATGTGAGCTATATCCAAGACAACATGATGCATGGATGGACACATCGACAGACAGTGTGCAGTAAATATCTACTTTCATTGAAAGTATCGACTAGGAACTGTCAAACTCTACCCAGAGTTGTCGTTCCTTTTCAAAAGGCGTGTTAGGACCGTGACTCTGCGTGGAAATTGGAGAACTGTATGCATCGACGTTAAGTCATAGATTTCCGCGCGTTATATATTTCCGCGCTGCCATTTTATCAAGCCGAATCTCGACATTAAGTGACCTGCTTGACACTACACGATGACATTTTAGACGCTTGGCCATCGTCTGGAAAATGACACAAACAATACCGTAAGTTCGTCCGGAAAACATAAGAATTCATAATTGATTAAACACATAAATATGAAATTTTGCTTAAGACACTTCTTATTCTGCTCAAAATGAACCCCTACCTGAAAAAACGGTACTATATTTCATTAATGAACCGGTGGTTTTTGAATTCTGTCAAACAGCCAAAGTGTGGTATGCAAATGTGGCCGCATTTCCTAGACAAATGTTTTCGTCTTCCAAAGAGCGAAGGAGACATAACGATAAACACTATTTGCTGTATTGCAATGAATTTCCAATTTTTAACATTTTTTAACAGAAAAAAATATAACTTACCATCAACCAAAAACGATATAAGACTGCATAAAAAATAACAGTTTCTATTATAACTAGATAAACCAATTTATTAAACTACATGAATTCATTAAATCTCACATATAAAAAAATCAATAAAAAAATGTGCAATTTTAAAACATATATGTAGTGATAATTAATTTGACGATCAAAGTTCATATTTTAAATCCCCAGAGAAGCTTTTAATTGTTTGTGCGGGGCACCGTGGATAATTTCATGTTGATGTATTCGAGTTATCTTACTTTGAACACTGAATCAAAGTAGACACACGGAAACCTATGACGGCTACTTCAGACAACTGAAAGTTGTTGAAAAAATGTTTGTTCTTCCTATTGTTTTAATACAGCTTTAAGTTGCTAGTTTTTTTGTTTCCATTAGTAGATTGTGCACATGTCTATGACAGTCACCCGTAGTTTCAACAGTTTTCTACCGATATGAGTACGAAATCGCGACTGCTTCTTAAGTGCGCGGAAACTTATAACACTGGGATAAGAATCGGAGCAACCAAAACAGCCTCCGCAAAATGTCCAGATGCCGTGAGTTATTCAAGGATGTCCACTCGAATACCTTTTTTCGTTTTCGTTCATTTTTAAATATTAAACACAATATATCGCTACAAAATGGCATAAGTTGTCTTATATCTACTAAGCGACGTTAGGGCAGTCGGTGTAAATATTTATTAATTGATCAATGGGGGATAATTGATATCACGCTGGAGATAATTCCTTACGGAGATACTGATATAAATACAAACACGTCAAAATCATTTACAAACGAGAAAGAACAAAGAGTTGATAAGGCATTTAAGGTAATAGGATTGTGTCACCATTTCTCAGTAGAATTTCTTCAAATTTTGTAGTTATATTGCTTTAAAGTAAAGAAAATTTTCTGCCACAAAAAAAAATATAGGTTGTCAGAATTTTTAGAATTTTAAATGGAAATTTATGTAAAAAGGAGTGAATTTTGAAAAAAAAAATGAAAGACACAATATTTTTACAAAATAATGTCAATAAAAATTATACTGACATATATCAGTATTGCATTAATGTATATCAATTCAATAAATGCTGAAATTGTGTAAAATTAATTCTCTATACACGATAAACAAATTGACATTTTATATTAAAACCATATACACATAGTAATTGCAGGTAAGAGTTATTGTTCTTGAAAAACTTCACAGTAGTGAAATAGGTAGCCGGTTTCCTGAAGTACAGAAAAATGGACACATGTGACTCATTG